ATTTTTAAATACTCTCAAACTTAGCCTAAGTGATATCGAAACAGAAAATTGATATCAAGTTGTTCTACATGTAATGTGCATACTTGTCATGGCCTCAGCTCAGGATTATTCGACTAAACGAGTTTACGTCCACCTTTAGGCTCAGCTTGAAATTCTAAAAATTGAGGAAAAGTTCAAATAGGTTGATTACAGCCCTAGGGCCTTGATGCTATACAATATGGGCACTCCTAGCTGGCGGTGACTTGGCTTCTAGCTGGAACGTACGACACCTGAGAGGAAGGAGAAGGTGAAGGGTTCCTGGGGAGTTCTCCCAGTGGGAACACTCCGATGGCTAAGTTAGAACTGGAGAAATCTCAAAGAAAGAGCAGGGAGTAAGAGTGTTGAAAGTGCTTAAGCTTCAATACCTTTGCTTCATGAGGGTTGGGGTTCTTTTATGTCGAAGCTCGGTCACACCTGGCATAACCGCCACTGCCCTAGTCGTTACTACTAGGGCAGGTGTGGCAGGTGTAGGTTGCTTGCTAGCGCTAGGTACGGACTTGACAGATGCGTCATGCTTTTCAGAGACGGCAAACAGAACGCCGCCTGGCAAGGGATCAGAGCCCTGTCACCGGATCCGGCAGGTACAAATGTCAGGCAGGCCTCCTTGCAGCCTGCCGAGCTATTATATGCCGGACTACCTGGGGCAGGTTTGCCTCGGTACCGAGGTGCCGAGGTGCCTGCGTTGGAGGCGGTGCTGCCCCGAGGTGCTTCTCCCTCGGGTTACTTAGCCAAAAACTGGGGTGCTTCTCCCTCGGGTCACTTAGCCAAAAACCGGGGTGCTTCCTTCTTAGGAAGGGAGAGCTCGGGTCTCAAGGGGAGCTCGGGATCTCCCACACTTGGTGGCAGTCAAGGTTGGCCGGGTGTTAGTCCCCGGCGAGTCGCTTAACTCGCCGAGTGGCCAGAGTTGGACTCGGCGTGTCTCTCCCGTCGAGTCGCGGTTGTGCTGTCAGGCTGAGCTGTTCGTTGAGCCAGGTCACGTACACGTGTCCCTGTGCTACGAGGTCGGGCCAAATCACCCTCCATCAATTGCCCCCACTCCCCGTGCTGGGGGTGGTGACCCAGCGCGGGGAGTTCACGGTGCGCCGGGTGGATTTGGCTCGGTACTTATGCCACCCTGTCGGGCAACTCGTTGGCCAAATCGGCCTAGTGTTCGGTTCACTCGGAAGGAAAAACCTAGGTTGCATACAACTTATGCGCGGACGTCACGCGATCTAAACTTCGTGGATGCCAAAAAACGCGCTAAACTGATTTCGCCTTGAGAGTCTTGCAACCGGTTTTCTTGAGGACCGTCAGATCGCTTCGATCTTGACCGTTGGGGCCCGGGCCCAACGACTATAAATAATGAGGGACCCTGGTCATTTTCTTTTGCCACTAAGTATCTTTCGTCTATCTTGAGCTCGTGTTCGGAGTCTTCAGCTCGGGTCTTCTAGTTCGTTAAGTTCTAGTTCGGTTGCGTTTTTTTTCGATGAGTCCCCGAGCTTCCCTTTCTCCTTTTTCAGTTCATTTCATTCTATGTCTAGCGGGGACAGTCTCTTAGACGAACTTGAGGTGGGTACCTTGGGTCAGGGTGACCCTGCTGTCGCCCGGCCTTCTCACGAGGCACGGGTGACCTCGGGTAGGCTGGCATCTACCTCCCGTCAAGGTCGGGTGCCGGATCAGTTCAGTCCATCCACTATGACGCTGGAGAGACTTTAGCATCTCATCCAGCACTTCAACCTACCTCAGAAATATACCTATAGTCTTCCTACCGACAACTTCCCTTGGGAGCATGGTCTAGATGAGATCGTGGCCTTTAGGAAGCAACTCGTCGGCGGGCTTCGTCTCCCTCTTCACCCTCTTATCCCTGAGGTGTTGCGATGCTTTAACATCACGCTAGACCAGCTTCATCCAAACTCTATCCGAAACGTGGTTGGGACTATCTCACTTTGTTTCGAATACAACCTTCCCTTAAACATAGACATCCTTTGTTCCATTTTGTCAATAAAGAAGAGCGCCTCGGGCATTCTCCCCGAGCACAGGCGGACTTACTATATGTCCCCTCGCCTGGGCTTCAAATTCTTGCATAAACTCCCAAGTAAGGTCCCGGCTTGGAAGTGGGACTACTTTGTAGTCCGAAGCAGCACGGGGTGGCCCTTCCTCACTAGTTGGAGGGTGGCTACCCAAGACCCTGACATTATTCTTGACCAGAAGACGAGGGAGACATTCCACTCATGGGCTCGTGTCGGGTTTGATCACAAAGATTACATTGCTGAAGAGAAGCTCATCCAAGCCGATTTGAGCCCGGGTAGGTCTATTTTTACCTTAGTGTATTGCTTGATCAGCTAAGTGTTTTCAAGCTTACTAACACCGAGCTCTGTTGCAGGTCTCATGGAGGAGAGGATTACCGGTCAGAGGCTCCTTCGTCAAATGAAGAAGAGGAAGAAGCGAGTCGCCAAGAAGGCGCGCATAGAGCCTCCGAGTACCCCCACTATGGAGCCCGACCTCTCGCAGGCTCCCATCTCGGAGCCCGAGCTCCCACAGGCTCCCGTCTCGGAACCCAAGCTCCCTCAGGCTCCCGTTTCGGAACCCGAGGTCCCTAAGGCCCCTCTAGTGATAGATTTGGAGGGGGACTTGCCATCTCAGGAGCCTAAGGTGGCAGCAGAGCCGGTCGCTGAGCTAGCTGGGGCTGCTACTGAGGCTTCCGAAGAATCGGCTCATCGTGTTGCTGAGATGATGGTGTCCAGCTCAGGGAGCCAGGAGGAGGAGGAGAGCATCTTGATCCCCCACTGTAGTATTGAAAAAAGTAAAAGGGTTGTCTACCCCACAGAGGTTGTGAACTGGATCAATCTCTCTCCTGGTCAGCTTGGGGCCTGTGCTGCAACCCACGCTATGGTGGTGAGTTCACACCCTAAGAATCGTCATTTTCCCATTCTTTTGTTCTTCTCTTTGGTACTGACCAACCTCTTTTTGTTAGGTGAACACTGCCGTGCACTCGCTGACCCTTCAGTCTGATAAACATCTACAGTGGGCCTTGGCTGCTGAGGAATCATCTTGTGCAACTCACACTGATCTGAGAGCAGCTTGGTGCAAGATCTATCAGCTGGAAAGTGACGCTGCAGCTCATAAGAGCTTTATCGAAGCTCTGTTGTCAGAGAAAGAGGAGCTAGCCCGTGAGAGGGACAAGCTGAAGGCTGAGGTGAACGGGCTCAGAGTAGGCCAGGACGCTTTAAAGCTCGAGGTGGAGAGCCTCAAGGCAGGTCAGAAGGCTTCGCAGCTCGAGGCGCAAGAGCTTAAGGAAACCAAGGGGGCTCTAGAGCACGAGGTGGAGTACCTCAAGGCTGACATTAAGGAGAAGACCGAGATCTTTGGCCAAGCTCTCGAGGAGACGAAGGTTCAGGCCGTCATCGACTACGTCAAATCATCTAAGTTTGACGATGTGATGTCGCAGGTCTATCGTAGGAGGTTCAAGCTTAGCCGGTGGTTGATAAGGTTTACATACCCCGACCTCGATACAAGTGCCATCACCACTTGGAAGATCACGGATGACATGGCCCGCCAGGCCGTGGATGACCCGGACTCCGAAGAGGAGGGTGCGATGAGGAGGCTGGTGCTACTGACCTGGCTGACACCAGGCTCCGAGTGAGGTCGACAAGCCTTCGAAGTAGTTGTGTGTTCCTTGTACCCTAGGCCTGCGAGCTTAGTTTTACTTTCTCCTTCTCTTGACCCCCTGTACTGAGGTTTTTGTAATGGAAACGCATGTTGTATAATGAGAGTGCATATTTTGTTAAGTGTTTGTGTAATCCTCTTCTGCCGAAGTGTTTTGTCTTATCACGAGCTACTGAGCTAGCGAGTTTAGTTCTCGAGGTGGGCGTCCTTTTACCGTTGTCACCTCGAACAGTTTCCCTGTACTTGGTAGGGGTGATCATAAGATTTTACAACATACCCTGAGGTGGACACACTAGGGAACGAGGTAGGCTAGGTGTTAGGGAGTTCATACCCGAGACTCCCTCGGGTCACTTAGCCAAAAACCGGGGTGCTTCCTTCTTAGGAAGGGAGAGCTCAGAGCCTCTTAGGAGGAGCTCGGGTCTCAAGGGGAGCTTGGGCCCTGGGAGGAGCTCGGGATCTCCCACACTTGGTGGGAGTCAAGGTTGACCGGGTGTTAGTCCCCGGCGAGTCGCTTAACCCGCCGAGTGGCCAGAATTGGACTCGGCGTATCTCTCCCGTCGAGTCGCGATTGTGCTGTTAGGCTGAGCTGTTCGTTGAACCAGGTCACATACATGTGTCCCTGTGCTACGAGATCGGGCCAAATCACCCTCCATCAGGCCTATTTTTACCTTATAAAGAAAATGTAAGCCAATTTTAACATGCATAGCTTATTAGAAAATACCAATATCAAGGCCTGTTAGGCTGTTACTTGGTCCATGGACTGTGTTGAATATGGTTAAGTGGGCTTTAGGGCCTTATTAGGCTGATAATAGTATCACCCAATGAATTAAGCCCAATACAAGAAAAAGGTTCTATAGACAAGTCAGGTCAGCCGAATCTACTCTACTGCAAACTAGACATGGCCGATTTGTAGTCCAACAGTCCTAATATAACCCATAGTCCACAAGTCCGTAGTCCGTATCTCTCAAATACTGAATTTTTGGGGTAGCCTGGACAATATTTTACACATCTTTACACCGCCATTACAGTCACCACTTGACACTTGTACTGCGCAACAGTTTAAAGCATAGGAAAATGGGAAATATCATATAGCCCAGGGTGTGTTTGGTTTGATAGAAAATAAGACAGTCAGAAAATTGAGTGAAAATTCTCAACAAATTTTCTAAAATTGCTTAGAACTTTCCCTCAACTTTCTGTTTCTCTCTCACTTTCAATATCAAAACCAAATACGAAGTACCGATTGAGATGTGGTTTTCAGTTTGTTTTTCTTCTTTTCTTTTCGTGAATCCTATTCCATCAACACCACAGGCACCAGCTAAAAGAAATACGATTCTCTGTCCTTTTAACCCGCAGTAAGGCAGCAAGCCAGTTACTATACAACTTTTTGCTACTTGTGAAAAAAAGGGTTACAGGAAAAAATAATACCAAGTATTCCTACGAAATTTATACACCGGAGAAAAAAGGTAACTCAAAAAACATGGAAAAATTAAGAAAAAGGACCTGACGCCGTTAACTTCTGCGGGTCCTCTTCCTTCCTTTGGACAGATTTTCCGTCCGTTTTCGAGAACTTCCACGTCCAACCTTCGCCGGTCGGCCAACTCCTTTCTTCGTCATCGCTAACGATTCCACCGGAGAAGTAGCATCCGAGGCTTTCTTGCTTTCCCTCGACGGAGTCGCCTCCGCGATTGGTTTTTCTGAACCCGCGACTTTTCCGGTACCTTTGCGGTTACAAGGACGCGCACTCCGAGGCTTTACCGGTGGGTTAAGCGTCGGAACTTCCGCGAGGAGCGCGGGGGCTTCCGAAGCCGAACTGCTAGGCTCTCTGCCAAAATCCCTAAGGTATGGCCGGAATGTTATCTTGGCCAGCTCTCTAAGGGCGAGAGCTGACTTGTATTGGCGTGTGTTCTTGGGGTAAAAGACCGCAGCGTTGTTAGCGAGCAGAAGCAAATCCCGGAAGAGCTCTTTGGTCGACGTGATCGAACGCTCGATGATTCGTGATCTTATTGTGTCGAAATCTAGGTGTCGCCGGACAGTTCTCTTGTACCTCGATCGCCTCTGTTATTTTCATGTAAAACAACGTAAAATTTCAGACGCAAATGAATTTCCGCCACTGAAAAAAAAAACAATTAATGATAAAATAAGGGCATTTTAGTCATTCAACAGAATTTTCCTGAGCCACCAAAATAAAGCAACAAACAAACTGAACGACATTGGAAATGGGTGGGCCCAAGGGCGTCAGCTACGATACCTAAACCACAAGGCAAGGCAGATGATACTTGATGGCTTCCACACCGTTCATCAAAGAGCTGATGAAGTCAACCAAGAAAAAGACCGAAGAACCGATGCTTACCTGGCTGTCGAGTCGGCGTCGAAACGTTGAAGCACAATCATTCTCCACAATGGAGTTAAAGATTCCAATGAGGTCAGCAACATCCGCCCCGTCGTAGGTTGATCTGACGCACCGGTTGCAGTCTCTCGTCGATTCTTCCTTATCCGGAACTGCAACAGCCGCAGCATCGGCGGAGCTCAATACGTCACTCTCCCCAACGCTGCCTTCCTTGACATCCTTGCTACCACCGCCACATTCCTTCCTCTTCCTCTTCCCTCTCCTCTTTCTCAAGTTCCCCCCTCGGTCAGCTCCAACGGTGATCTCGGGTTTGTCGACGGTGTTCTTCTTCCGGTCTCTCTCCGAGTCCTCGAATGACACTGGGTTCACGTCATCAGCCTCTTGAGCTGACACGACAGTTGGGTCCTTGCGTTCAAGAGACCAATTTGTAGGGGTTTCTTCTGTGAAGCTACCCACGGATAATCCGTCCTTGGATGACGTTTCTTTGCCCGAGAATTCGACTCCCACTGAGTTTCCCAACGTCACCGGTGATTCTGTCCGACTGGAGTCATAGTCGGTGTGGCGATCTTCTCGTCTCTCGGCTTTCAGGCTTTTAAGCTTTGATTCCAGAGAACTGAAACACGAGAGTCCCACAATCCACGTCAGCATTCGCTTTGCAAAGTACACGTGTCCTTCATAGGGTCCCATTGTTTTGAAGAAGGAATATTAAGGCAATTACACGTGTCTCATAACCCATTACGGTCTTACACCAGACAGATATGGCAATTACACGAGGCAGGGCAGGGAGTATATAAAAGGAGAAAAACGGAAAAAACCCATGGGCATTATTGTCACTCAAAAGCGAGGAATTTCCGATACATTTACCAAAAATAAGAAGAATTCCAAATACAGAATTTTCTTTTTCTAAGTAGGAAAAAGTCATCAAGAAAAGAAGACCAAACCAACAACTGGGCACTGACCCAATCGAGTCTTCGGATTTCTCCAACTCTCGCTTCAATTCGGCAACGCGTTGCTTTCGAAGTTCTTCGAACCAACCTCTGATGACAAGGGAAAAAAATAATGAACAGTTAAGAATATGATTCCATAAGGGGAAGTTTAGGAATTTTGGAATGTTTTCAACCAAATTGCCATTTTATAAGAAGCAGAAACACTTGGCAAATCAGATCCAAGCAATAAAATAACCAAAATTATCGAAAAGAAAATATTTGGTCCTCACGTGCAGCCATAATAACGCTCTTGTAAGTCCTCGTATTTGGCTTTACAAACCTGCAAAGCAGAAATTACATTTTTGTTAATTCAGGTTAGGTCCAAAGGCAAAAAGCAAAAAGAAAAAAGTAATTTTAATTTTAGATGTGTCTGTTTTTTATTATTAGCATAGAAAGAACGGACCTCAATGTAAAAAGCTGAAAGAGTTTCGCTATACGTCCGATTAAACGGCGTCGATATCGCGTCAAGAATCACGAACATTATCCGGCAAAACGTCGGTGTGTGTATGGAAAAAGTAAGAATAGACAACCAGGGGCGGAGGTAGGATTTTTTATTGATGGGGCCAATGCGTAATAAATATGAATAGGGGGGTAAGAGATAGGAAACATGGGTAAAAGAAGCAAAATATATGCGAAATTTAAATAGCTCCAATTGTTAATTTGTTACTTTTCTTTTTCCTTCAAAACCATACGTAAAGAAGGGCATTCGTGACAATTAGAATCGAGAAATTTCCATGTATACATACAAAATCCGTATCCACTAGTAAAAGAGTATTAATCTGTGGATAAGATAAATACGCGATTCTTGTAAAATACGAACAAATAAGCGATACGTGTCACCCCACAGGTAAAATTTTCCAAATTTGCCCCTTTATACAAGCAAATAAAATATACGAAACAATTATTGTGTTCTTTTTTTTTTTTTATTTTCTTTTTGTGTGGGAATAAAGAACTGTTCTATAAAGTTGCAGGGGAAAAAACAATTTCCGGAAAAGAATCCAAAAGATAAATGATTTTCCTCTATCTGAATCTATAAAAAAAAATAATAAGGGGAAAATACAGGAAATTTTCGAAATCGGCCAGAAAATAACCTCGGCGGTGAAACAATAGGGATAGAGGGTCCGAGCTTGGAGCTCTGCAGCAACGGCTTCCCAGTCTTGGGTCCCGTGCCGGAGAACGGCGCCCCCGAGGACGAGCTCCTCCCATGTACCCCACCTCACCATCGCCATCATCTCCGTGTCCGCCATCCTTTCTGATTCCATCGCAGCCCTTCACGTGTATGTATGTACCTTTGCCCCCTCGATCAACCCTATCTCCCTTCTTCTCTGAATGAGTCCTAGTCGTCGTCTTCGTCGTCGTCGTCCCTTCCGACGTCGTTTCTTTCCTTTCAAGATAATCCCAAAATAGAGACAACCATGAACCACCAACAAAAGGGGTCCCCGTGCGACCAAATAAACCCGCTTTGAGATGCTCACGTACGGGAAGAAAGATGAGCGAGCAGAAAACCGCTTTTTGGAAGGGTGATGGGGTGGTACAGGGATGGGGGAGATTCGAGAGTGGTTTTTTGAAGGTGGTTTTGGGTTCTCTAATTTTTCGCTTTTTAAGATGTATAGAAGAATAGGTACGTGAGGAGGATGGGTTGACGTGTTCCAAACTGCTGGTGGGTCGAACACGAGAAATAAAATAAAACGAATTAATGAAGAGAAAAAGGGAAAGACAGAGAGCAGAAATTAGAAGGAAAGGGCAACCGGGGTTTTCCCTGGCTTGAAGTGCTTGGAGTTGGAGGGTGATTAGTGACTGGATGTGTTATTGCCTATTGAGCTTTGGCTTTAATATTTTATCGCCTCGCCTACTATCCCAAGTTTCCAATTGCCTGCTTTTCTCTCTCTCTCTCTCCCACATTCCCTACATTTACCACCAACTTTCGTATTGAGGTGTCATAGAAGTCCTTTTCTTTTTTTCTAAAATGACATGCCTGTCCCCGCGATTTTATCTGTTTAAGGTCCTGGTGTGATTGCACGCGTCGCGGCATACGCATATTGTCCTACATTACAACTACAAGCCCCCCGTCCTATGGATCAGGACCAATGCTTTTAAAACCGGACCGAACCGGACGGTCGGATCGGTAAAATCAGGAATTGGTCACCTGATTAATTCCGTTTTATTCCAAAACCACTATTTGGCCAAAAATGGTTGATTTAGTTAGTGAACCACTGATTTAAGCAGTCGAATTGTTCAATCTAGAAATAGTTTTTGGCCGTTTTTTTTTTATATTTTAATTTTTTATCAGAGCAGGCCATTCATTCAGACCGAACAGTCAAATCGAACCCAAAAATGGTTCCCTATCCAATCCAATTTAAAAACCTTGGTCAAGACAATTATCCTTATCCCTGAACTTTTAATTTGCGATATATCTATCTGAACTCTCCTTTTTTCCTATTCCTTCTCTCTTAAATCCTAAATTGACCCCAAAACATCTTCATCTTCTTCTAATGAAATCGACTAAAATATCAAGAATCATTTTACTAATATAAAAAATAAGTTTCTTTAAATTCTTATTTCATTTTACTAACATGAATGTCTCTCATCTTGAAATATACATATTGTTTACTCTTTTTATTAATAAATTAAAAAAACCAAATTAAATTTTAAATTTATATCTATCATAAAGAAACCTCTATCATTTCATTTGAATGTTAAATTCAATAAAAAATCTGTAAGTATTTATTAGAACAACTGAATGGACTTTAATATTATATTTAAAGTATTAATTAAATCATAAATTGTTTAAATAAATAAGAAAAAGGTAATTTGAAAATTTAACCGCAAAAGCTCTTTTTATAAAGAGTCTTTATAATTTACCTTTTTTTATTAAATTTTTTAGACGCGTTTCTTCTAAAATGCTGATGATCTTTGGCCGTCCGTTCCTGACTAAAATGTAAAACTTTGATTTAAATTTCTTTCGACAAGATCCAAAATGGCCTTTATATCTATTGGGGATTTGGGATTTTCTGGGGTCTGAGCACACAGAGACTGCTAATTGTGACCTTGCGGCCTCAGACTTTACCACGTTGCAAGTGTTCAGAAGATCAGGGACCATGATTCGATGGATTCCAACATTAGAGAGGACCAAGATCAGATTTTCGTCTTTAGACCATCTGATTCTTGCATTGTTTTCAAAAGAGCTTAAATTGACCTTGTGACCAGCAAATAGTTTGGACGGTGGGTTTCTGAATTCTGATCGTCTTGGCGAAATGTGGGGCCCCGTTCGGTTGTTACAGATTTACAAGTTCTGTGCCGTGTATATCCCATACATTAACGGATCCCTCTGTCAAGATCATGTCTGGACGGTTAAGATTAGCTCATATGTAACGATTCTTAGATTATGGCTCAATGGCCCATAAACATGATTCTGGAGTCCAGCCCACCTAGTTGGAACTTGGTCACTTGGAAGAGAAGAAGAAGAATGATGGTTGCCTTGATTCCGTCCCCCTGCCCATTTCAATCCTAAAGAAACATTGTTTGACAGAAGAGAAGCGAACTCTGGGCCGGTGTCTCAACTCTCAAGATTCAAAGGGGAGAAGTTTGGAGCCAACGCCTGTGGGCTGTGGCCTGCTCCTTAGTCCTTCCCACACGGTGCAGTCCCAACTTCCTAGTCCCCAGTCCCCACGGTTTATGTATTATGTAAAGTCAACATATGGACCATCGTCGTCCCAACCCAAGAGAGATTCTTGGGTATCAAACAAAAATTAAAAAAAAGGATGGTTTGACAAGTGGAAAGGGTTACTGTTGCCATTTGCCACACGAGGAATGTGCACGTGCCACGTGGATCCACTGCAGACCTCTTCTAAGGTCTTAGGTCGACCACCATTTTTTATTCATTTCCGCTTGTGGAATATATGAGATAGGCCTAAGTGGAAATTTCCTTCATCTCCAAACAACTTTTGACACGTCAAGAAATTTTGTTTAGAGGAAAAGATGATTGCATTCATCTCAGTTTCGAATATCAAAGCCCAACCTTCAGTTGGCAGAAAGTGGAACTTCTCTTGAGAAAATGAGTACGGCCATAGAGTCACGGAGCACAGCCCCAGCCCCAGCCCCAGCCTTATTGGTTACAATAACACCGTCAATGTTCATCTTCAGCCATCTAACATTTGGTTTATAACAAGGGGCAGAGAATTCATTGAAAATGATAACTCCTACGATGAGCAGAGAAAAAAAAATCCCTTATACTATACGATGTTGAATAATGTATATAAATATACTAAAGTAAAGTGCCACGTAGGTGGTCTTAGCTTTCTCCCTTATCTCAATCGTGAACTCCCACCCCCTATTAGTTTTACCTTCTTTGTTCCCTTAAGAAGTCACCTTATCATTCTTTTCTCCATTTCTCATTTTGACATTTCAACATGCCTAGTCTATCTCTCTTTCCTTTATGTTTATTCTTTTTGTTATACCAAAATCTAATCTAATGTACCCAAGTGGCATCACTATCTCCCACTTTCTCCCAAATTATGTATAATTCCTATTTATCTCCTAAATTATATATAAGTCCTAATTATCCCCTAAGTTATCTCTAATTTAGTAGAGAGTTTCTCTCATAAATTATTTCAAATTCGTGTTTATCCTATCCCCCACTTTTCATCTATGGCTATCAAAAGAAAAGTTTGAATTAAAAAATTTAAGAATTATTTAAATATTATAATGAAATTATGTAATAAATTTAAAATATTTATTAAAAACACAAAAAAATTCATAGATTTAATAATATTCATATTATTAATAATTTTATGAAATTCATAGTGAAATTATGTACTAACAATATAAATTATAATTTTACGAATTATTCAAAAAATAAAAATCTAAAATAAAAAAAAAATATTATTAAAATTTTCAATAACTAAATATTATAAATAACAAAGTATTTAATATTATGTAATAGCTTTAAAATAAATAAAACTTAAATAATGAAAAATATTAAATATTTTAATTTTTTTAAATATTTAAATAACTAAATATTTTAAATAACAAAGTTTTAAATAGCTAAAATAACGAAATTATGTAATAAACTTAAAAATTTATTAATAGAAAATTGTTATAATAGATTTCATAATATTTGAATTAATAATAATTTTATATTTTATAAAATTAATAATGAAATTGTGTAAGAATAGTATACCTTATAATTTTATGGATAGTGAAATTCAATAAATAAGTAATATTAAAATAACTAAATAATTGTATTATTTAAAAAGATAAATAATATTGTAAATAACTAATTTTAAATATCTTAAATATTAAAAAATAATAACTAAATATTATTCTAAATATTATTTAAAAACAAATAAAATAGATAAAATAAAGAAATTACATAATACCTTAAAAATTTTATCAAAAACATAAAAATATCTATAATAGATTTAATAATATTTGATAATAAGAATATAAAATATAAATAATTTAAAAGTTTTTAAGTATTATTGAAATAATGAAAAATAGATTAAATAATTTAGAAGTATTGAAGCTTTCAAATAACAAAAATAAAATTTTAAAAAAATGTTTTTAATAGATATTAAAAATATAATAATAATTGCAATTATTAATGTACTAATAATAAAAACATTATTTCACTTATATCAATTAATAATTCTAGAAAATAACTTTTAGAAAATTGGTGTTTATTAATAATAATTTTAAAATCCTAATCTATATTTGTATATACTAAAATTTATACTTATTAGAGTTTAAACTATTGTTATTTTTTGGAGATTAAACTATTAGTTTAGCTAAAATTAGGAGTTGGTTCAGTTCAGTTGTAGGTTGTTTGGCGAACCAAATTGACTTGGCCGGGTTGGGGATTTGATCACCTGAAACCGACCAACCATTAGCGAAAACCAGCCAAGTTGGATTATATTGGTTTGGGTCAATTTTCAGTTTGGTTGGTTCGTTCAAAATATTTAAACTTAAAAAATTAAATTTAAAAATTATAGTAGTATTATTAAAAAAATTAAATTTACAATATGAAATATTTTAAACTTAGGAATATGGGAATTCTCCCACTTTTCCATATTAAAAATTATATTTAATATAATTTTAATATGGTCGGGTCAATTTGTTTTTTTTTATTTACAAATGACCAAACTGAAATTGACCCGCGACCTGGTTAGGTTGGGAAATTGTTGAACAGAAACCCACCAGAAATACTAAAAAACCAACCAACTCGAGTCGAGTTGGGTTTTATTGGTCGGTTTTACCAATTTGATAAACAACTTAACTGAAATTAACTATTGTTATTTTTGTATTAAGTCCGAGTTTTTTTTTTCTTTTTTTTTTTTTGGCTCAAGCCCATCTTAAAGTTAAAAACTCTATCCAAACAAGGCCTTTATTTCTATTGCTGGTTAGAGTTTTGAGAACATAGACGCTATTTTCCCAACTCAAATTAAAGGGGGTGTAGATGCAATAATGTAAGAAGTTCACGGTTAAAGAAGGGAGGTACTGAACTGCAACTGTTGGAAAAGTACAAGTGAAGTTTCAACAACTAAAAGCAGACTTGGTGAAGGGAAATTTGGCCTGACCTCGCGATCACCCGACACGTGGCAAAAGCAAGCAACTCGGGGCAACAGAGCGCCCAAAACGAGCACCGAAAATAACGAAGTCCAAGCTCACTACTGAGCCCGAACTTCACCAGACCGGATTCTCTACTAGGAGCCCGAGCTCCCTACCAAGAACCCGAGCTCCCTACTGGGAGTCCGAGCTCCCTATTAAGAACTCGAGCTCCCTACTGGGAGTCCGAGCTCCCTATTAAGAACTCGAGCTCCCTACTGAGAACCCGAGCTCCCTGCAAGGAGCCCGAACTATCTCGGGTCCTAAGCCTCACAAAGCCGTGACCC